AAGCCCCCCCCGCTGCCCTCTGCCTCCTGTCCCTGTATCTTTTCTTTTCTCTTTTTTTGTGGCAAGATAAGGTGAGGCTTCCACTGGAAGAAGGGAGTGGGATGGTGATTTCCCCCCCCCAACTCCCACTTACCCAGCAGCCCTTAAACATTTGTAGCACCTTTATTGTTTTAGACATGCTCCAAATCATCCAGAACAGCATGGGAGACAACCCCCTGGGCTTTAGGAGAAGAAGTGGAGAAAATAATCACCCATCCTATTCCTTCAAAACTCCATCAAACACAAATACGGCTCTAACAAAGTTTCCACCACCACCACCACCCCTTCCATTTCTCTCTCTCTCTCTCTCTCTCTCAGTTGTTATCATGTGCTGTCAAGTTCCACTCTGACTTATAGCAACCCCATGAATGAACAGTCTCCAAAATATTTAACAGCCCTGCTCAGCTTCTGCAGACTCATGCTTATGGCTTCCTTTTGGGATTTGGCTCATCTCATATTTGGTTTTCCTCTTTTCCTGCTTCCTGCCGCCTGTCCTAGCATTATTGTCTTTTCCAGGGAATCCTGCCTTCTCATGATTTGCCCAAAGTAGGACAGCCGCAGTTTCAACAATTTTGACTACAGAAATAGTTCATGCTTGATTGGATCTAGAACCTATTTGTTTGTCTTTCTAGCATTCCAGGGTGAAAAGCATTCCCCCAGCACCATATTTCAAACATATATATATTTAAACATATATATATATATTATACACAGTATTTATATATAAAATTATATATACAAGTGAAATCATGATTCAGTCAGAGAATAATCCTAATTAAAGAAGTACACTTGGCAACCAATAATAATTTGATATGTAAGACTGATAGAAAATATATGAATTCAGAAATGAACTAATCAAGTAAACTGTTAATGTGATTTAGAATATCTTTACCTATGGAGGTTGGCAAACAAAGAGAAGTTGAGGTTGGAAATTATTTAATTACAAAAATTAAAAAAGAATCTATCTGAAACATTCTATCAGCAGTTGCAGCTCTGTAAGAAAAAGATGATAAATGGATTGGTGCATGATTAGTGTTGGAGGTGCGGAGAAAGAAGTGCTGATTATGTGTGTAAAGTCTGGAATTGTGAGAAAATTAAATCATAGTGGTATTCTTTTTTTTTATTCTGAGAAACAATTACCTGTGCATCCCTTTTGAATTTGTCTTTATTATCTGAAAGAATATAGAAAACAGTGATATATGAATAGTTAAAATTTACTCATTGTTGCTAAGATTTCCCTATTGGAAGAAAAAAAGAATATTGCTCTGTGTTTATTGGACTCTCCCCCTTCAGAACCTGAGGTAATATCATCAAGATTAATTTACTATATCCAGATCATTTGCAACAAATCTTATTGAAAAATGGGTAGTATTTGTCAGATCTTTGAATGATAAATTTCAGGATTAATCTTTATTTTGCATTCCCAGTAATTTGAATATCATTCTGACTAGTTTTAATGTAACAGTTTGATAAATGACTGATTACATATTTATTATTTGGTATTATATAAGTTTCAGCTAATAATGTGAAAATGTGTTAAATAATGTTTATTAGGTGATTATCAGAGATTAACTTCAGAAATATCTACATTATGTATGATCATCTGTTGTTTTTAATAGATGTTAAACGAAGTGTTGCTTTTGCAGTAAGATGTTTTCGTTATCTCAGTTTTTTCTTTCTCTCTATATGGATTGCTTTCATTTGTATTTTTCAAACAAACAGTTTTCTGTTGAAGAACAGTCTATGCATATTGGCTAAAATCCTGTTGGCAGAGCTGTACATCCTCAATGCTGATGATGTCATTAGCAAGTAATGTTACTCTTTAATTTAATTTAATTTAAAACCTCCTGTCCTGTTTTTAAAGAAATGTTCACAAGCAGGAGGAGGAGTGGATGGGGAAGTGTGTTCTGCTAGGTCTCGACCACGGTATCCTTCTGGTCTGTCTTTCTGGGATGGAACTTGGAGATACTGTTTTCCAGTGACTCCCATCCTTCTCCTGGAGGGGATAACCCAGAGAGTGGTGCTGGAGACTCCTGTCTGACACACTGGCTGTTGAACTGTGGTGTCCCACAGGGTTCTGTTTTATCCCCTATGCTATTTAACATCTACACGAAACCACTGGGATATGTTGTCTGGAGTTTTGGGCTTCAGTGTCACCCGTACACCCAACTCTCTCTCTCCTTTTTAAATCCGAGGAAGCTGTTTTGGTTCTAGATCAGTGTCTGGTGTTAGTAATGGACTGGATGAGGGTGAATAATCTGAAACTTAATTCAGACAAGACAAAGATGCTCCTGGTCAGTGTAAAGGCAGATTAAGGAACAGGGACCACTGTCATGCGCTCTACATGGGGCTTCCTTTGGAAAGTGTTTGGAAACTTTACCAGGTCCAAAATGTGGCAGTCGTATTGTTAATGGGGGCTGGTTACAGCAGCTCTACTGGCTGCCAATATGTTTCCAAGCATAATTCACACTACTGGTTTTAACCCATAAAGCTATAAACAGCTTGGATCCAAGGTAGGTCAAAGACCCTATCTGTGAGCCTACCAGGGTTTTAAGACCCCCTGGAGAGGCCTTCCTCTCTGTTACACCATTCTCACAGGCGTGCTTGGTGGGGACTCAGGAGAGGGCCTTCTCTGCGGCTGCTCCCAGACTCTGCAACTCCCCCCCCAAGAGAAGCCAGGCTGACCCCATCTTTGCTGCCCTTCTGCAATCAGGCGAAGATCTTTCTCTTAGGGCATGGCTTTTCCTGAGTGGCAGTTAGGACTAGGACAGGTTTTTAAATGAGATGGTTTGCATTTGTTGCTTCTAAATGTCTTGACTTGACAAAACACCTTGCCAAAAAATTTGCAACTCCTACAAGGTTTCTCACCTCCAGATAAAAGTGAGACACGGAGCGCAGTTGGATGTCTTTGCTCTCCAAAGGTAAAAACTGGGAAGGAAATCCTAAAGACGCCTATGATGCCTACCGATTTACTTCTGGTACTTGCCACCTGTTCTGCCTGGTGTCCCTCGCAGAGGATTCCATCTTGTCTCCCACACCTATTTAACATCCATATGAAACTGCCCAGTCCCCAGAGCTACTGGGGCAGCTTCGCTCATCTCCCATCCTCTCTTCAAAGGAAATATGGATAAAAAAACAAGAAAGCACTGCAGGAGTTGGTTGAGTTCCCTATCTCATGAGCATCACCACCCTGAAGCAATGTTTGAGTGCACAGACTATCTGGACAATGTGTACCTTTCCTGTGGCCCATGTCTTTTGAGGCCACAGATCAGTAGGACTCCAGACCCACTTCCTTCTGAAAGATGTGGCTTTGGTGGAGCCCTTGTCCAAAAGCCCTGGCTGGGTAGCTGTATCAGCCTTCGGGGCCCAATTTTGCCTTATGTACAAAAGTTGCCTATAACTGAAATATACTGAAGCTCAATCAGAAAAGCTTGGGCTTCCTCAAATCACTGGGGCCCCCGGAGACACGAAATGAGCAATTTGAGGATGACACAAAATTGGGTAGAAATTCAGAAAGTTCTTGATAGGCTCAAACACTCAGCTGAAAAAAAAAAAAAACAGAATAACATTAAATAGGAATAAGTTCCAAATTCTACACCTACGAAAAAGAAACCGAATGCACTGTTACAGGATGGGGGATACATGGCTCACTAACAGTGCATGCAAGAAGGATATTTGAACCTTTATAGATCATAAACTGAGTATGAGTCAACAGTGTGATGTGGCTGCAAAATAAGGCAAATGTTATTTTGGCATGTATTAAGAGAGCTATAGACTCCAAATCCTGTGAAGTGCTAGTCCCCCTCTATTACATACTGGCTAAGCCCCATATTCAGTACTGTTTTCAGTTCTGGACACTGCACTTTAAGAACAATGCCAACAAATTGGAAGAAGTTCAGAGCAAGGACAACAAGGAAGATTAGGGGACTGGAAACCAAGCACTAAGAGGAAAGACTGAAATAACTGGGCATGTTTAGCCTCGAGAAAAGAAGGCTTGAATGAAGATATGACAGCATTTCTGCAAGTACTTGAAAGGTAATCATCAAGGGGAGGGGCAGGATATGTACTTGATCATCCCAGAGTGCACGATATGTAAGGGGCAGGAGATGTAATAATGGGCTCAAGTTACAGGAAGTCATATTTCCGTAGAATATCAGGAAGATTTTTCCTAACTGTTAGACCAACACAGCAATGGAAGCAATTACTCAGGAGGTGTTGAACATTCCAACACTGGAGACATTCAAGCTAGACAACCATCTATCAGATATACTTTGAATTGGATTCCTGCGTTGAGTAGAAGTTTGAACCCAATGACCTAGACCCTTTCCAAATACATTACTCTATGCTCCTATAATTTCATATGTGTACTAATATATATTCTCTGGAGTTACCAGGTCTTACAGCGGTTGTTGAAGTCTCTGGGAATCACTATGGTTTCCCAGATCACCAGGTGAGGGAGACATCTTGGCAAAAGCAGTAATGAGGGAGAAGCACAATTTTCACGTATGAGGTGCTGTTGAAGCATAAGCGTACAATATACACCCCCATGCTATTTAGAGGAAGGGGAAGGGAGTGGAGCACCAGTGTCGTGACTCATGACACCTCTTGTTGCATAGGTCCTGGCAGCAGAAGCTCAAAGCATGGAACCCCACAGTCCTTGCCTGCCCTGCCTTTGTGATATCATAAAGACCGGTTCCCTTTTCTTAATTTCCAGCCCAGAACTCTCAGGGAACGGGATGTTGCTGTCATAGCAACCTCAGTCTAATGCCAACCCTAATTTAAGGGCCATGTTGCTTACGCTTGCTGGCATTAACTACAACACCATAATTTTCAGTGCCAAATTGCCCCTTTAAGAAGGCGGTGCTTGTTTGTCTTGCCACATAGCAATCATATGAGTGGGCAAGAGTGAAGAAAAATAACCATCAACTTCTTGACTGGCAGAAATTTGATGCTGAAATGTATGTTGTTGGAGCGACACTGAACTACACATGTAATAGGATTCCTTCCCACTGATTATTTTTTTAAAAAACAGTATGTATTTCAGAAGTCTCAGGAAGCAGTTTAATTCAAGAACACAAGATTACATATGGAAAGTCATCCTTCATAAGAAACTTATCATCTTTCAGTAATGTGGTATCTATTTTTCCAAGTAAGATGGAAAGTTGGGATCTAAGCCAGTTGCTCCTGAGCAATCCTTCCTTGTTTAAAACAAGGCAAAATATGCCATTATTTATGTCTTCATTTGAGTGATACCATTTTCCTGAAAGTAAGACCTAACCTGAAAATAAGCCCTAGTAGGATTTTTCAGGATGCTCGTAATACAAGCCCTAACCCAAAAATAAGCCCCAGTTCAGTGAAACCCCGCCCTCCACTATTGGGCAGCAACAAGAAAAAAATGCCACGACTGCATTTGAATACATGTAGATGGTTGTACATGAAAAAAAATCCCCTGAAAATAAGCCACAATTAATTTTCGGGAGCAAAAATTAATGTAAGACCCTGTCTTATTTTTGGGAAAACACAGTAGAAGTGCACGTGCAACACCAGTTTATGGCTCTATGCCTCTTCAGCCTTGCTTCCCAGTGATCCTGGCTCGGCCATTTGTGATGATTTGTCTCTCATTGGCCTATGGAAAAACTTTGCTGAATTGCTCCCGTGCCAGTTTTTCTGCCCATGAGAAAGGAACAGAAGGATGGAGGATTTAATTACTGATTTAGCTATCATTATATTTCTCTTTTTAATGGCAAAATAATGCGACACATAGGGAAATGGCATAATAATAGTGAGGAAATCAGTGATTAAAGGTTTTTATTTCACCCACTCCCCACGGTATAGTAACTGACACGAGGCAATTTAGAGAAGCTGGGGCAGACTCCAGAGACTCCGGAGCCCAGATTAAAAGGGCTGAAGTTGCTAATACGAATGGAAGATCTAACCAGACGAAGTTTTAAATGTAATTCATAGCAGGGTAAATGTGTCTCAGGGAGGACAGAAAGTACTGACTGATAAGAGAACCAAAAAAAAATATGCATTTGATAATATTCAGAAATAGTTCAGTTTTAAATCTGCACAAAACCCACACAGTTTGGGAATAAGTCCTTTAAGAAGGAAGTGTTCTGCCTGCACGTGGAAAAAAGTTGGCAAAAAGAATGAAGTGTGTTACTGTATTAATGAAAATGATCTATTTTAGCAGCTGGTCAAACTTTTCAGTATCAGAATTTTAATGAC